TTTAAAATTTGCTGTGAGAGAGGGAGCCAGCAGAAAATAAATGTTACATTTTTGAAAACAAAACGGCTCTAAAGACTAGTTTATTCAGAAACTGAAAGCAGTAATTGTTTGTGTTTTTCTGCACCATGTATAGTTTCCTACCTTCAGTCAGCTGAAGACATGTAGCACTTTGATCAGAGTTTTTCTGGAGACAGGTGTGTCAAAGCAACTTTTAAAGCATAAACAAAGTTATTAGATAAGACTTGATGGAAAAATAAAGGGTTGCAAAATGTGATGATGTAAAGATGAAGGTACGTCTTTTCAGAGAACTGACCTTTCATTATCAGTTAAGAAAGATAATATAAGCACTTCAAGGAAAGTCTAAACCACAGTTTTGTGATTAGTAGTCCCCTGCTCGACCTTCCTCCAGTTTCACATAATTGGCGTCCTTTCAAGCATGCATCTATAATTTCCTACACTTTTATCTCAGCCATTAATTGCAGCAGAGCGGGTCGGCCTCAGCTCGGATAAGGTTGCAGTTGTTGGTTTAATTACCATCAAGTTTGTTGTGTTCACAGCGCCTCTCACAGGTCATGAAATTACAGTAGCTGACCTGCAGAAGTGCTCACCCACTATAAATTGAGCCATGAAGTTTAAATAGAGACAGAGAGAAGGGGAGATTACAATAAGTCCCATAAAGGTTCTCATCCTCTTGGAAAAGGCACAAACCTGTGGTCATGATCCCAAAACAAAACAGAGAATAAAACCAACTCATAAATCTGACAGCCACACATGTCCTGACACCAACTGATCACAGCACACGATGCAGTATGTGGTTTTTCATAATACTTGAAACTAAAAGATACAGACCTTTTAATTATTAATTAATTAATTAATTTCTCACTGTATAAGACAATATATAATAGACAAATAACAAGAATAGTGTCAAATATCCACAAATAAAATATGATTGCATAAGTGCCAGAACATTAAAGCCCAACTCATACTGGATTTTAAGATCAATTGACAGTATATATAATGGACAGAGCTTCTGGGTCTGTGAAGTAAAGCAAATGCAAAAATGTCTTAAAACCTGCATTCTATGTAAAGGCCAGCAGGGGGAGCTCCATGGGCTGCAATACAAAATGATACAATACACTCTTTTGAGCCAACTTCTCACTTGATTTATGACCTCAGTAAACAGTTTCCTGATGAGTTTATGTTCTCATTCTCTAGTTTCTTCTTCTCTCTAGTCTCTAGTCTTCTTTTATATAGCATGATCTTTATTTAGTAAATTATGGTTGAAGTATGCTTTTGGTTGTGGATACCATAAGATTGATAGGTCATTCTCAGAACAAACTGGGTACACATGGAGTGTCTGGAGTCTTTGAGTACATAATCAAGATCTCTTCTGGTTTCTTTTTCTTCTGGCTGCAGGAATTTAATCCCATCCAGCCATTAGAGCATTAGCAAGGTCCAACACTGATGTTGGGTGATTAGGTCTGTCTCACAGTCACTGTTCCAGTTGATCCCACAGGTGTTGATTGGGGTTGAGGTCAGGGCTCTGTGCAGGCCAGACAAGAACTTCCATAACAAACTGGGAAATCCTTTATGGATCTGGCTTTCTGCACAGGGACGTTGTTATGTTAAAACGGGAAAGGGACAAACACAAAGCTGGGTGCAATTGTGTCCTGTATCATTGAGATTTCCCTTTACTGGAGCAAAGTAGTACAAATAAAGACAAACAGATCCAGACCAAGAATACACAAAAACAACACAACATGGGTAAAAAATTGTCAAAATAAGGTCATTGACACTTTAGTTTTGCTGTAATTCAATCAGCCTCCACATTTACTTTGAAGTAATGATGTATCATACAACTGAGATCAGCTTTTATCATTCTTTCATTTCTGATAGCACATCATCTACCCTGCTGATAGAGCACACCAACACACAGTTGATGTACAATCTGAGCCACAGAAAGCAGTTAGCTTCAAATCTGAGATGAGAGACAAAGACAGTCTCCCTTCATGGCAGTTTACAAGAGAAAAAGGCAACTAAAATGTTTGTGTACTTTATATAAGTGTTTCAGACAACATGCAGATGCTTGTGGAGCTTGTGGGTCTGAGCCAGCTCAGTTCTGTGCAGGATAATGAGGGACTGGTGCCACACAGGACAGAAGGGAGCAGCTTGTTAGAAGATTCCTGTGCCAGGAGAGGTGTTACCAAGCCCCCGCTGCAATGTAATTGGATGATCCTGTCAGTGTGCCTGTCTCTATTGGACAAGCTGTCAATGATTCTAAGACTGCTCTGTAGAAAACATACCACCATTAACAAACTAATAATGCAGGCTCAGATAACTCCCTGCGACTGTGTCAGATGTAGAGAGCCCATTTTGACTGGTAAGGGCAAGGTCACACATGCGCAAAAGTAGGTGAGTGACCATTGCCAGTTTTGGTAGTAACAGGTGACCGTAATCACATTACATCAGTCTGTAATGCAGTAATGTAACTGTCTTCAATTATCTGCATCAAAGTTCATCAAAATGGCTCATTTTACACAGACTTCCTGCAAGTCATTGTGTTCACTGTTTGGGTTCATAGTGCAGTTTATCAGTTGTTCTCTACAGTTATTATTATGCATTGAATATAATATGAAATCCATAATATGTATCACATAGTCAGTTTACTTAATAATAAAAAAAAGTCTCTCTAAAGGTTGGAAACCACTGCTGTAGCTAACTGGGATCTTAATAAACTACACTAAACATATTGACAAAAAGAGAAAGAAAGGCAGCCTTATTTTGTGCAATTCTGCTATTAATGGAGTGTAACAAGATAAAAATATAGAGCCACAGATGGCTGGAAAGACAATGGGCCCTATCTTAATCACACAAGCTCATCGACATTCGCCGATGGCTGTCGAGGTGGTGTCC